CTCTTATAACTACAGTATACCATTCATATACTCTACCACTCTTATAACTCTACCACTCTTATCACTCTACCATTCTTATAACTCTACCACTCTTATAACTCTACCACTCTTATCCACTCTACCACTCTTATAACTCTACCACTCTTATAACTCTACCACTCTTATAACTCTACCACTCTTATCACTCTACTCTTATAACTCTACCATTCATATAACTCTACCACTCTTATAACTACAGTATACCATTCATATAACTCTACCACTCTTATAGCTCTCCCTCTTATAACTGTACCGCTCTTATAACTGTACTGCTCTTATAACTCTACCACTCTTATAACTCTACCACTCTTATAACTGTACTGCTCTTATAACTCTACCCTCTCATAATCTCTACCACTCTTATAACTCTACCACTCTTATAACTCTACCACTCTTATAACTCTCCCACTCTTATAACTGTACCGCTCTTATAACTGTACTGCTCTTATAACTCTACCACTCTTATAACTCTACCATTCTTATCTCTACCACTCTTATAACTCTACCACTCTTATAACTCTACCACTCTTATAACTCTACTACTCTTATAACTCTCCCACTCTTATAACTGTACCGCTCTTATAACTGTACTGCTCTTATAACTCTACCACTCTTATAACTCTACCATTCTTATAACTCTACCACTCTTATAACTCTACCATTCTTATAACTCTACCACTCTTATAACTCTACCACTCTTATAATTCTCCCACTCTTATAACTGTACCGCTCTTATAACTGTACTGCTCTTATAACTGTACCGCTCTTATAACTGTACCATTCTTATAACTCTACCACTCTTATAACTCTACCATTCTTATAACTCTACCACTCTTATAACTCTACCACTCTTATAATTCTCCCACTCTTATAACTGTACCGCTCTTATAACTGTACTGCTCTTATAACTGTACCGCTCTTATAACTGTACTGCTCTTATAACTCTACCACTCTTATAACTCTACCATTCTTATAACTCTACCACTCTTATAACTACAGTATACCATTCTTATAACTCTACCATTCTTATAACTCTACCACTCTTATAACTCTCCCACTCTTATAACTGTACCGCTCTTAAAACTATACTTCTCTTATAACTCTACCACTCTTATAACTCTTTTTTCTTTTCATTTTTAAATGGCCTACAGCTTCTCCCAATAGCCATACCTTCGCCACCATTTTATTACCTTAATATTAAATATCCTAATACATAAGTAGCTATCCTAGCTGTGTTGAGTTAGTTGAGCCGCAGATCTATGCAGCATTCAGTGACTGTAGCCTCATAGTCAATATCTGCAACTGTTGTCGGCTTTGGGGCCGATGTTCTCGTTCCCCTGAGGCAGAGCAAAGCCGACCGAAGGAGAGAGAAGGACAGTCGACATCTCATCCAGTCTGTAACATAACTTCTGGGCTGCTGCTTCTGTTCGGATATCACCTCCGCGAGTCTGGCGTAGAAGCATCTTGCACTTGGTCCCATCTCACCAGAGGTTGTGAACACTAGAGGAGTGAAGCTGCGTTGATCAACGTTCTCAATTCTCTCCCCGTATGCCCTTATCTTGTCGTTCTCGTTCCTCCTGTGTGCAGCATCAAGAGCTAAGTTACGGTGACCTGCATCTATGGGATCAAAAATCCTGATGTCAAAGAAGGCTCGCTGTCCCCGTGTCCAGAATCCTCGAGCACTGACGTCAACACGGGCCTCGTTGGATGTGTTTGAAGACCTATATTGGAAAATCTCACAGTCCAATGGAAGGAGGGTCGGTTCAACCCTGACATCACCACAGAGTTCCTTCAACATATTTGCTGTGAGAGCCCTTACTTCGTTATGCCTCATGTATATGAAGCCCCCTTTCTTGCACACCATGGCGTGATCGACGTCTTATAATTCTACCACTCCTATAACTCTTATAACTCTACCACTCTTATAACTCTACCACTCTTATAACTCTACCACTTTTATAACTCTACCACTCTTATAACTCAACCACTCATATAACTGTACCGCTCTTTGAAAGGTGCAATTCTTAAGACTTCCCAAGTGAGCATTTTTTTTTGTACACAATCAAAAATGTATCTTTAAGGACATAGTCGATGAATTTCAAAATGAACACCGACTCCTGTTGTCTCGGTGAAGTTATCAAAATTCTTTCATCTAATGTGTTATTGTCAAGCACAGAATCGTAAAGATGCAATAACCACAACAAATCGAGATATTACAATGTCATCTGTACGTACAGTCCTGTGGGTATCTTTTAGTCATTACAAGACCATTTTTTTTTTACGGGGATTAGCCCACCCGGGCACAGGTCACTGACCCACATCAGGGCCCGGGGGGCGAAAATTTAATAATAATAATAATTCATAGTAAATAAAATTTATAATCAAAAGTAAAATAAAATATTAATGGTAATAATAATAATAATAACAACACTGTGATAATAATAAATACAAAGAAATACAAGAATGAACAAAAATCAACAGTGAGAAACGCTATATATGTATGTTGTTTTGTCATGTAATAGAAACAATTGAGACCCTACAATTGTGTGTAAATGAGGCAGAAAGTCAGATGAGCAACCTGGGGCTTGGTCACAATTTTCGTGATGCCATATGTTTGTAACAGTTATATAGAAGCTGGCACTCGGATGTCAATTAGTGATAATTACAGTTTACATAGACCATCATATAGGCATCAGTTAATTACAGTACAGGGTGTAGTTATAATTATACATAGGCTATCATGTGATCATCAATTAAGTTACACAGAAGCCATCATCTGGGCCTCTACTATATCAGTAATATACAGTAGAAGCCACCATGTGGATGTATCCAAGTTGATCAGTCCATCACAAGAGGATCATATATACTGTACAGTACACCTTCATGTTTCAAGCTCAGTTTACAGTAGTACTTTTTATGATTTTAAGATCATTATCATTCACCTGTTCCAAAATCTGGGTATAAAACATGTACAGTTTATTCAGTGTATTTTTTATTTAACTATATACAGATACAGATACTGTATTGTATCATGAGTGTCAACCATTATAATCTCTTTCTCGGTGCAAGTGCTATCCATTACAACATCAACAAAGACATTAAACCATATAGTGGTCACGCCACCATGACAGTTATCAAGCCATAAACAAGACCACTTCAACAGCACCAACAGAGACCTGGGACCCTCTGACCCCCAGCTTCCACACATACATGGATGGATGACCATCACCTGCTACCAACACCAACGTGGGTGGCTGAAATTACACAGGGATTTTAATGTTTGATTAAAAGAAAGGTCTTTGACACAGTGTTTCGTGTTATACTATGTGTAAAACTGCAGGTTCTTGCTACTAGACTGATGACATTGATCTTTTAGTGTCAGGTAAAGATCCAAAAGAGTTATGTAAACAATGGATCATAGACAACAAATCATCCCATTATTTTTTAAAGGCTGAAGAAATAGTGAGTTTAATTTACTGTGTGATAAAGAACCCATCACAACCGTAATCTTAGGCTAAATCTCGACCTTTGCTTGGCTGGAAAATTAATTGTAGATCATATAGTAAATTAAATTAATGCTAGGATAAAATTTATTCATAGACATGCCAAATACTTCTCAGCTGATGCCTGTATTGGAGTTTTCATTTAGGTTAGTGTATATGTATAAAACCATTGTATGTTGTATCAATTGAATAGTCTATGTTTGTGCTGTTACCATTTCTTTCTATTGTTATATTGTCCTACACCTGGGAAACTACTGCACCACCTAAACTACCGGCAGGGTGATTCAGCAAAGAGTACATTAAATTGGAGGATGAAATCCTTGGATAATTCTAAACCACAATGTCTCCATGGTAAAATGTCAGATTCTGCATAGTTTACATGTTACAATACATTTAAGATGTTGTATTAATGAGAGTGAATTTGATGTGAAACCTCCCTAGGTTTTTGTAATCATTTATTCACAGATGTCTTATGTATAGCAGTACAGTGTGATACAGACGGCTGACACAGGTGCAATGAGATAGGGACCGTGTACGACATAATGAGATAAAGGCAGTTACAGGGGGGAGGGAGTTTCACATCAAATTCACTCTCATTAATGCAACATCTTAAATGTATTGTAATTTTGGGAGTAAAGAAACTCGGTAATTTTCGAGTCCGGACCTGTCAACCACCAAAATCTCTGAAATGTAATCCTATACCGTGAGTAGGCCACTGTCGAATTTTGCTTACCCTGTTCATAAGTGCATGCCGTCTCATGTACTTGCAACCAATATAATTACTGCATTACAAGCTCAAACACTGATTAGATTATAATCGTTAACATTAAAAAAATTATTGTAAACCCGAAGCACTAATTTTCATAACTCGATGTGTACAATAACTGAGATCGACAAATATGTCTGTAAAAATCCGAACTGTGTATATAACATGCAAGCACTGAGGTAAAGTTCATTCTGAACTCTTCTTCTCTGTATACCAGGTATGTGTAATCCTATGTCTCACAGCGTAATGTTTAGGGAATTTGGCTAAGTTGAACTTTGTTGAATATATCAGTGTTCCAGTTTTAAAGTAACTGAACGTCTTATGTGTTGCGTGATTATTATGCCCCATGCGTTTCCTTGCACTGTGTCGGTTGTTCGGACTGCTGAGGGCAGCCGGCAGGATGTCTGAGGCATTAGTAAACTGGGATTAAGATTTGAGTGGGTGGCGCACCAAAGAGTGAGTCTAGTGGGCCTATGTGTGCGACTGTTCACGGCCGAACTCGGGGCCTAGACTCAGCTTCACTAAGCTTGACTCCGGCTGCGACTTCACTGCATTGTTTTGAATCCAAGTTTTCATTAGCCCTGTGGTAATTCATCCTGTATTTATCAATCTGAAGGTTTTTGAGAAACGCTATAAAGAAGTACTACAATTAATAAATGAATTGAAGTGCTGAAAACCTTGTTTTTGCTAACCTTAGAGTGAGGCCAGTTGATCTCAGGGGCGGCGACGCCCCCAGAAACCCTCCCGAAGACGGCGGCGCTCCCAGGCGCGATGGTGCCCCCTGAGTCCCTCCCAGGGACGGCGGCGTCCCAACGAACGTTCCCAGGGATGGTAGCGACCCCAGGGACGGCGGCGGCACCAGTAACCCTCCCAATGGCGGCGACTCCCCCACTGACACATCAAGGACCCCTCCTAGGGGCGGTGGCGCCTCCAAGGACCCTGCCAGTGGCGCCGGCGCCTCAGGGACCTTCCCAGGGGCGCGGACGCCCCCAGAAACCCTTCTAGAGAACGCGGTGTCCCTAGATGGCCTCCCAGGGATGGTGGCGCCCCAAGAGGCTCTTTCAAGGGCGGCGGCACCCATAGGGACCCTCCCAGGGGCGGTGGTGCCCCTAGGGGCCCTTTCAATGGCAGCGGCACTCCCAAGGACCCTCCCAGAGGTGGTGAAACCCCCAGGGGTCCTCTAAAGGGCTGCAGCACCTCCAGCGATCCTCCCAGGGCTGATGACGCCCTCAGAGACCTTCCCAAGGGCGGCAGCGCTTCCAGGCACCTTCACAGTGGCGGCGGCGCCCCCAGAGACCTTCCCAGGGATGAGGGTGCTCAAGGGACCTTCCCAGGGTAGGCGACGACCCCAGGGAGCCTCCCAGGAGCGGTCCAGCCCCCAGGGACCCTCCCAAAGGCGGAAGCGCCTCCAGGGACCTTCTCAGGTGCAGCGACGCCTCCAGAAACCCTCCCAGAGACAGCGGTGCCCCCAGGGGGCCTCCCAGGGGCGATGGCTTACCCAAGGGATCTCCCAGCGGCAGCGGCGTCCCCATGGTAGGATTCTGCCTCAGAATATGGTAGGATTCTGCTCCAGAATACGGTAGGGTTCTGCCCCAGAATACGGTAGGATTCTGCCCAGAATACGCTAGGATTCTATCCCAGAATACGGTAGGATTCTGCCCCAGAATACGCTAGGATTCTGCCCCAGAATACGCTAGGATTCTGCCCCAGAATACGCTAGGATTCTGCCCCAGAATACGCTAGGATTGCGCCCAAGGAGACGGTAGGATTTCGTTACGGAAGACGGTAGGATTCTGCCCCAAAATACGATAGGATTCTACCGCAGAAGACGGCAGCATTCCGCCCCAGAATATGGTAGGATTTTGCCCTAAAGGGCGATAGGATTCCGCCCCTTAAGACGGTAGAATTCTGACCTAGAATACGTTATAATTTTTCCCCAAAATACGGTAGGAATCTGCCTCAGAATGCGGTAGGATTCTGCCCCAGAAGACAGGAGGATTCTGCGCCAGATTACGATAGGATTCTGCCCCAAAAGACGGGAGGATTTCGACGCAGAATACGGTAGGATTTCACTGCAGAATACGGTAGGATTTCGCTGCAGAATACGCGAGGATTCTGCCCTAGAATAGGGTAGGATTCCGTCCCAGAATAGGGTAGGATTCCGCCCCAAAATATTGCGCCCCAGGTGACGGTAGGATTTTGTTCCGGAACACTGTAGGATTCTGCCCCAGAAGACGGTAGGATTTCACCACAGAAGACGGTAGGATTCTGCCCCAGAATATGGTAGGATTCTGCCCTAGAAGGCGATAGGATTCTGCCCCAGAGTACGGTAGAATTCTGCCCCAAAATACGGTAGGATTCTGCTATAGAATTCGGCAGGATTCTGCCCCCGAAGACGGTAGGATTCCGCCCCAGAAAGCGGTAGGATTCTGCCCCAGAATATGGTAGGATTCTGCCCTAGAAGGCGATAGGATTCTGCCCCAGAGTACGGTAGAATTCTGCCCCAAAATACGGTAGGATTCTGCTATAGAATTCGGCAGGATTCTGCCCTAGAAGATGGTAGGATTCCGCCCCAGAAAACGGTAGGATTCCGTTTTCCGCCACAGAAGACAGTACGATTACGCCATAGAAGATGGTATGATTGTGCCCCAGAAGACTGTAGGATTCTGCCCCAGAATACGATAGGGTTCTGCCCCAGAATACGGTAGGGTTCTGCCCCAGAAGACGGTAGGATTTCACCGCAGAATGCGGTAGGATTCCGCCCCAGAATAGGGTAGGATTCCGCCCAAGAATACGCTAGGAACCTGCCCCAGGAGACGGTAACATTTTGCTCCTGAAGACGGTAGCATTCTGTCCCAGAAGACGGTAGGATTCCGTCCCAGAATACGGTAGGATTCTCCGCCAGAATACGGTAGCATTTCGTCCCAAAAGACGGTAGCATTCCGCCCCAGAAGAAAGTAGGATTCTGTCCTAGGAGCCGGTAGGATTTCGCCTCAAATAATGGTAAGATTCCGCCCGAGAAAATGGTAGGATTCCGCCCTAGAAGACAGTACAGTACATTATAGATCAGTACATTACAGTATAGGAAAGTACAGTACAGTATAGATCAGTACAGTACAGTATAGATCAGTACAAACAGTATAGATCAATACAGTGCAGTATAGATCAGTACAGTACAGTATAGATCAGTCCAGTACAGCATAGATCAGTACAGTGCAGTATAGATCGGTACAATACAGTATCGATCAGTACAGTATAGATCAGTACAGTACAGTATACATCAGTACAGTACAGTACAGTACAGTATATAGATGAGTACAGTACAGTATAGATCAGTACAATACAGTATAGATCAGTACAGTTCAGTATAGATCAGTACAGTATAGATTAGTACAGTACAGTATACATCAGTACAGTACAGTACAGTACAGTATATAGATGAGTACAGTACAGTATAGATCAGTACAATACAGTATAGATCAGTACAGTTCAGTATAGATCAGTACAGTATAGATCAGTACAGTACAGTATACATCAGTACAGTACAGTACAGTACAGTATATAGATGAGTACAGTACAGTATAGATCAGTACAGTACATTACAGATCAGTACAGTTCAGTATAGATCAGTACAGTACAGTATAGATCAGTACAGTACATTATAGATCAGTACAGTTCAGTATAGATCAGTACAATACAGTATAGATCAGTACAGTACAGTATAGATCAGTACAGTACATTATAGATCAGTACAGTTCAGTATAGATCAGTACAGTACAGTATAGATCAGTACAGTTCAGTATAGATCAGTACAGTACATTATAGATCAGTACAGTTCAGTATAGATCAGTACAGTACAGTATAGATCAGTACAGTACAGTATAGATCAGTACAGTACATTATAGATCAGTACAGTTCAGTATAGATCAGTACAGTACAGTATAGATCAGTACAGTTCAGTATAGATCAGTACAGTATAGATCAGTACAGTTCAGATCAGTACAGTACAGTATAGATCAGTACAGTACAGTATAGATCAGTACAGTACATTATAGATCAGTACAGTTCAGTATAGATCAGTACAGTACAGTATAGATCAGTACAGTACATTATAGATCAGTACAGTTCAGTATAGATCAGTACAGTTCAGTATAGATCAGTACAGTACAGTATAGATCAGTACAGTTCATTATAGATCAGTACAGTTCATTATAGATCAGTACAATACAGTATAGATCAGTACAGTACAGTATAGATCAGTACAGTTCATTATAGATCAGTACAATACAGTATAGATCAGTACAGTTCAGTATAGATCAGTACAGTACAGTATAGATCAGTACAGTACAGTATAGATCAGTACAGTTCATTATAGATCAGTACAATACAGTATAGATCAGTACAGCACATTATAGATCAGTACAGTACAGTATAGATCAGTACAGTTCAGTATTGATCAGTACAGTACAGTATAGATCAGTTCATTATAGATCAGTACAGTATAGTATAGATCAGTACAGTACATTATAGATCAGTACAGTTCAGTATAGATCAGTACAGTACAGTATAGATCAGTACAGTACATTATAGATCAGTACAGCTCAGTATAGATCAGTACAGTTCAGTATAGATCAGTACAGTACAGTATAGATCAGTACAGTTCATTATAGATCAGTACAGTTCATTATAGATCAGTACAATACAGTATAGATCAGTACAGTACAGTATAGATCAGTACAGTTCATTATAGATCAGTACAATACAGTATAGATCAGTACAGTACATTATAGATCAGTACAGTTCAGTATAGATCAGTACAGTACAGTATAGATCAGTACAGTACAGTATAAATCAGTACAGTTCATTATAGATCAGTACAATACAGTATAGATCAGTACAGTACATTATAGATCAGTACAGTACAGTATAGATCAGTACAGTTCAGTATAGATCAGTACAGTACAGTATAGATCAGTTCATTATAGATCAGTACAGTTCAGTATAGATCAGTACAATACAGTATAGATCAGTTCATTATAGATCAGTACAGTACAGTATAGATCAGTACAGTACAGTATAGATCAGTACAGTACAGTATAGATCAGTACAATACAGTATAGATCAGTACAGTACATTATAGATCAGTACAGTTCAGTATAGATAAGTACAGTACATTATAGATCAGTACAGTTCAGTATAGATCAGTACAGTACAGTATAGATCAGTACAGTACATTATAGATCAGTACAATACAGTATAGATCAGTACAGTACATTATAGATCAGTACAGTACAGTATGATCAGTACAGTACATTATAGATCAGACAGTAGTATAGATCAGTACAGCAGTATAGATCAGCAGTACAGTATCAGTATAGATCAGTACAGTTATAGATCAGTACAGTATAGATCAGTAAGTACACAGTACATTATAGATCAGTACAGTTCAGTATAGATCAGTACAGTACAGTATAGATCAGTACAGTACATTATAGATCAGTACAGTTCAGTATAGATCAGTACAGTACAGTATAGATCAGTACAGTACAATATAGATCAGTACAGTTCAGTATAGATCAGTACAGTACATTATAGATCAGTACAGTTCAGTATAGATCAGTACAGTACAGTATAGATCAGTACAGTACATTATAGATCAGTACAGTTCAGTATAGATCAGTACAGTTCAGTATAGATCAGTACAGTAGTATAGATCAGTACAGTAGTATCAGTACAGTACAGTATAGATCAGTATAGATCAGTACAGTACAGTATAGATCAGTACAGTTCATTATAGATCAGTACAGTTCATTATAGATCAGTACAGTACAGTATAGATCAGTACAGTACAGTATAGATCAGTACAGTACAGTATAGATCAGTACAGTACATTATAGATCAGTACAGTACAGTATAGATCAGTACAGTACAGTATAGATCAGTACAATACAGTATAGATCAGTACAGTACATTATAGATCAGTACAGTACAGTATAGATCAGTACAGTACAGTATAGATCAGTACAGTACATTATAGATCAGTACAGTTCAGTATAGATCAGTACAGTACAGTATAGATCA